GATATATATAATATGGGCGCTATTATGACAGAATTGTCAACTGGACAAAGGCCTTTTTACGGTTATCCGTTCGACTCTATACTTGTGTTGGATATTTGTAGAGGATTACGACCTGAATTTTCTGAAAAAACACCCGAATGTTATATTAAATTAGCAAAGCAATGTATGGATTCTGATCCAAATAACCGACCTAGTGCTAAAGATATTAGCTCAAAACTTTCAGAACGGCGCATGATTATAACGAATCCCTCAATATCTTATATTCTGCTAATGAAGAAATCAAAACAGTATCGAAGTTCAATGTATACTAGTAGATTAATAAACACTGAAGAGATTAAGATAGCACATGAATCAGCTAAATTCAGAGGTAATTCTAGAAGTTTATGAAAATGGTATAATTATATAATTATTCATTTATTTTTTTTATTTTTGTAATCATACGTATAATAGATTCAAAAATGCACGATCTAGATGTCTGTGCTATGCAATTATGTTAAAGAATTTGCTTTTGTAATTGTTTTATGAAGCATTTTTTGCACGATGAGAAAGGTGAAACTAATATTATTAAAGTTTTCCAGTGCTCTATAAGATAGTGATGCGATCCGAAATCCGTCAATCCGGATATCTGGTTCAAAATCCGATCCTATGCGGATAACAGATATCTACGTAATAAGAGGTAATCTGGATCGGATATATCCGGATTATCTGACAAATATCTGTCATCCGTTAGGTCATATGTTGATTTACGTAATTAATCATTCCTAATCAATTAATAATCAATTTAAGCTATACTTTATGTTAAACGATCCCTTATTTGTATAACAATGAAAGAAATTACTAAAAAAAGAAAATACCAAAAAACAAAAAAGCTAATGACCCGCCTATTGAGGATTCTCAAGACGAGATTCCTATTGGCTCAGTTTTTCAAATTGATTTATCAAATCGAACTAGCTGGGTGTGGGAGTTTTTTAGTCTTGAAATTCGAAAAGAAGATAATGGAGAATGGGGAAGGTTTGCTGTTTGTAAGATTGAAGTATTGGTTGGAGAAAAATGTGAATGAACATATCGAACTGAGTCTTCAACCGGCAACCTTATTGGGCATCTATTAGCTGATCATGAAGTAACGAAAGATAATCCACATCCAAAAGAGGTATTTTATAATATATTAAGAATTATTAATATTGTACTATTATAATTTAATAAAAATAATATATTTTTTATACATATTAAATAATAGCCATCACAAGTATAGAGTCGAAC